CATTAATGAGAAATTGAACAGGTGTTCCTAATAATCCTTTAGGTGAGTGTATATATATATATATATATATGTATGTATATGTATATATATATATATATAATGGTTTTCTTCCTTGAAAAAAGCCTTATTGATTTGCTCTTTCATCATTTACAAAGTACAACAATGTACCTTTAAAAGAATTAAGGTGATGGCTGTCACAAGCTTCAATTGTTATATCATGTTCTATTTACAACAATTCAAATTAACTCTCTTATTTACAAGTTGCTGGTTTTTATTGAAGCAATTATTTAGATTGTTACTGTTGCATCAGCTTGTCATGGAAAGCTGGGCCCTCCTGGAGTGAGCTAACAAGTGTACAGCGACTTACCCTATAGCTGGATATTTACACAGAGGGGAGGAATTTTACATTTCACACCAACTTGATAGCTGTCCATGGCACCCCGACTGGAAGTGAACAGCTCAGCATTCTTGGAGATGCTGCTTGCTCAGCAAAAATAAATCCCCTTCCGTCATGCTCTGAAGGCAGGTCGAGCATCCCCTCATTTTTGCCGCTAGTTAGCATGCTTTACTGAAAACTTGTATGTGATTTGCAACATTATTATTTTGTTAAGTGAATTAATAGAGGCTTGGGTAGATATTTACAAAAAATGCCAAGCAAACACAGAAAACAGAAGATGTGCAAAGGAACTACAGGTATTCTCCTCTGCTGCTTCTATAGCTACTGCATTATTCCCTAGAAGAGCTCTTAATAGCGCCAGTAGAGGGCGCCACGCTTAGCAAACAGCCTTCATCAGCATGACAGTTTTTCATAAGCATAGCAAAGAACCAAAAATTCATGGCCATTTCATCATTTATACCATTATTCTAAATGAATTATAGGACAATTGCAAAATACTTCTATGAATGAGAATTTTGTGTCTGGAGATTTTTCATTTGGTAGTGCAGGTTTAATATGAGTCTCGAAATAAATATTCTAGTGGCCAAAATTGTGGAAACACTTCCAGTTTTTATAGACTGCAGAACTTTATTCAACTGTTGTACCAGTTACTTATTTAATTGTCCATTTAATTTTGGCCACTAGTGTTTATTTCTAGTAAGAAAGCAATAAAAAGAGCAGTGTTCTGTGGGTTTTCATCAGGAACTCAATTTTCATAATTTTTTTTTCTAGTTATGGACTTAATCTTAAAACAATCCTTTTGGCTAGGCATACACACATCACCATTCTACAGAAGGGAAAGATACGCAAAACTTTTGTACTGATTCTTTATTAGATGAAGACCTCAAACTGGCTGATCTTTAGGATTCACATTCAGATGGACAATGTAATGCCCTGGAAGAGGCACGTGGGGCCTTTGCTGGCTCAGCTGTGCTCCCACCTGTTAGAGGGAATCAATGCCACCTCACCATATTCATTTTTATACAAAAAGTTGCTGGTAAAACCTTGCATTGCAACACAACGTAACTGGCATTGTAATCAAGCAAACGAGAGGACTAAAGAAGTTGAACCACTGAAAACGGTATCCATAATGTTACTTAAAATGTTAATATTTTATTTTTAATAAAGCAGGTAGCCTATATGCCCAGTGCCCCCCCTCCACACACAGGGATGCCACCCAGGTCATGTGACCAGGAACAGGCGAATCACCCTGAATATTGCTGGTGACTGCAAGTGCAATTTAACTGGAGTGCAAAGTCCATATCTTGTTTTCGCTCGTCACGACACACGCAAATGACATTGCTAGTCTGCTTACATCACTAGTCAGTGGACTGAAGACTTTGGGCATAAACGCTCAGGACCTTGGCCCAGTCAGGGAGCCAGAGGCTACGGGTCACAGGAGGAAAGGACTCTGACAAGGGAGGGAAGGGAGACGATCGGCCCGTTCCAGTCAGACTCATCGAAGCTGGCAAATGCTCAAGAATCATTCTCATCGTTAAAAATGTAGTAAAAATATAACATTTGCAAGTAAAGTATCACATTACAATAAACATTTCAAAGAGAATTACAAGTTTTAAAAATCGAAATGCATTCCACAGTATCTAAACGGGATTCCGATGACATGTAGAAATGGAATGTATGAAGCACTTAACGCCGGATTATAGACAAAATAGCGTGAGTCATCGTCCCAGAGAATGCAGGAGTATTCAGGAGAGATCAAGGGCAAGGAGACTCTGGTAAGAAGCGGAATGATGAGTTAGTAACCAAGTTCACAGTGGCCTTTAGTCAGAGCTGAACTGAAATGGACATTTACCAGAAGACGGAGCACTTGAGTCATATGGCTGCTCAGAATAAAGTTGAGGGAGCTTCTGAGATTGTGCACTTAGGTCAATGTAGTGGTAACATGTGCAGCTGTTTGCCGTTTAGAAAAGAATGCTGCAGTTGTAACATATGACACATATGGACTGTAGAGGGCAGACTGGCTGTCCAGACACAAATAGGTTACAGTGATTAACTTGTGATTTCACCTGTGGTATGAATTCACATTGACTCTGATCCACAGAGTACTCAGCACTTTGGACAATTCAAACATTTATAAGTAGGCTGCTCTGAAAGATATTTTTGGCACCCAGAATAAATAAACATATCTAAATATTCTTATAATCATTGCTTGCCTAAATGGAATGATACATTAACTTTATATACAAACATTGAACCATAACAAAGGGAATCGCAAAATTAATCAACTGATATAACAGGGATTCTGCTCTGAAATCCGAAATCAGTGCTGGAGTGAACAATGGATGTTTTTTTTCTTTTACTTTTTCCATGTTCCAAGCTCTCCTTTCCCAGTCACTTCATGCCTTTCGATTCTGTCCGGCATGCACTTACAACATGCAGCTCGAGAAGCAGCGAGTTCCGCAGGGCAAAGGGACACAAAAAGAGCTGCAGTCTGAGGATTATGGAGTCTTTGTGATTGCAGCGGTGCCCTCTGGCCATTGGGTGGCACTGTTGTCTCCTCTCAAAATTTTTTTTTAAAAAAACATTCTCATAGAAGGCCCTGCTAATGAGTTTGGCCCTGAAAACCTATGTTTCCTTTTTGTTCTTTCATTTCCAGTCATCCCCTAACAACACGGGCTAGTGGCAGCGATAGGGCTCCCCTTTCCGACAGGCGACAGGGCCGTGTGTAAACGCTGCAGCAAACAGCCACTGTAGGGGCAGCCTAGACAGCCTCAATTGCATAAAAACAGTAACAAAAATATGAAAAGGCACATTCCAGAGAGTAACACTCTCACCTTGGAACTAGAGTTATTTATATATTTACAGCATATAAAACAATTTCTTCTGGGATAATAAAAGAGTGTGTGTGTGTCTGTGTGTATTATATATATAGCTGGACACACTGGAGTTGAAGTGCAAAAGTTTACATATACTAAGGTAAATTATAAAGTAATTTAATCTCATTTTTTAACCACTCCACAGATTTCATGCTAGCAAACCATAGTCTTTGCAGGTGGGTTAGGACATTTGCTTTGTGCATGTCGTTTTTCCAAGAATTGCTTACAGAAAATTTTGCTTTTAATTAATTCACTATGTTACAATTCCAGTGGGTCAGAAGTTTACAAGCGCGAAGCTGAATGCAGAGTGGTTAAAAAATGAGTTCTAATGACTGCAACCTAAGCGTATGTAAACTTCTGAGTAACTGTATGTATATGTGTGTGTGTGTGTGTGTGTGTGTGAGAATGTGTCTGGCAAAGCTTGACGAGGTGAAGAGTGCGTGAGCCAAGCGAACAGTGCAATGAGGTGGCACAGTGTCCTGGGGAGGGGGGGTGCAGGCAGGTACTCAGTGACGAGGTTCTGAGGAGGAGTCGCTCAGCTGGAGAGGAGGCCACTTCGATTGGGCCTCTCAGGGCTCCTTACTCCTGCTCCCTCAGGTGCTTGTATGACAGAGGTACAACAGCAGCAATCTGTGGACAGGTGAGCAGACATGAGGGACAGAGCTACAGCCACGATGTAAAGCATGTCGCAAACCACAGGGAGGGAGGGAAGTGAATGGGCACCCTCAGCAGAAAAATCACCAAAGATTAAAATCAATTTTTCTCAAAAAAAAAAATAATCAAACAAACAAACAATCGGAGTGATTTTCAAACGACATAGACACACCCAGCAAAGCCAATCTGCAATTTCCCCAAATCAGCATGACAAACACCAGAGGAATCACGCGTGAGAATCAGGAACGGGGGGTCATTTCATTTCTCATTTCTTCTGTTTTTTCTTTACCTTGGTTCATGTTTATACATGTAGGAGGGAGTCTTCAGATGGCTGGTGGGGGAACAAAATCGGAAGTTTAATGATGGCACATCTCATGCCGGCGGACCGGCTACAGCGCACCTTCCCCGATTTCCGCCCTCCTCAAAGGCGGAGGCCGACACCCAACCCGAGCAGCTGGACAGACAATGTCAATCGGCATTCATAAGCGTCTCTCGGACAAACATGGGGGCCGATGCACGATGACTCATGCGATGAGCAAAGTCGCACTCCGGCAAGAATGAAGAGAGACAACCGTCACATCACTCACCTCCACCAAAACATCACACTATTGACAGGAGTCTACACCCGACCATTACCAAAAACCACAACCACCAAAAAGAGCTGCACTGTAAATACTAAGCACAATATAAGCTGAATGCAGTCGAAGGAAAACCCCACACCAACAAAAAGAATATTCAGATTATAAGGCATGTGTATGGAGGCAAAGGGCTGAATGGAAGACAAAGCCAGAAGCCTCTAGGCTTGGCTTCAATAACATGTGACATGAAGAGCAGGGAATCATGGGAAAGTGTGCAGCCTTAGTCTCACGTGTCACAACATGTGGGACTATGAGTCAGGGATGCGCATAACTGGTACGCGATACGTGCGACGTTCGATTGTCCTAACAGTACAAATGCGTAACGTGTTTTATGTGCATTTGTGCTGAATTGACAAGAAATCGTCGTGCATCTTAACCTCTATACCGCAAATGAAGTACGGATTAGCAAATAAAGGTGAACATGGCATGATAATTTTCTTGTCATAGCAGTTACGACAATGGACTGCCGCACGTATCGCTTTTAAAGGTGAATGCGTACTTGCGTACCAGCTATGCGCATCCCTGACCGTGGTGCACCTGATGTGTAGCAGGTTAACGGCAGTACTGAAGTGTTTCATTTTTTCTGCAATAATAACTGTGATAATAAAACGTTATTATTCTAATAATAATAATAATAATAACAACAATAATAATAATGACAATAATAATAATAACTAATAACTAATTAGGGAGGATGCACATTTTTTGCAATAATAAACTAATTTGATTAACAAAAAACTATGGAGTGTACTATAAATGAACTGACCCTACTGTTGTTTAGCTTTTGAGAACTGCAGGGTTCCCTGACTTTGACTAAAAAGCTCAATTTCCATGACCTATAACTAGGGATGCACATAACTGGTATGCAGACACGCATTTGCTGTATGAAGCGATACGTGCAGCAATCCTTTGTTGTATCAGCGCAGATACGTACTTAGTTAAGTGTATTTGCGCTGCTACGACAAGAAATTACCGTGCATTTTATCCTTCATATGCTAATTTGCATGTAGCAACTAAAACACGCTATAAACAAAATTCCCTGATAGTCCATGACTTGGCTAAAAAAAAGATCAAAACCCTGACTTTTCCATTTCTGGAATATACTTTTTAAAATGACATGATATTCCAGAAATTCCATAGCTTGTGGTCTCCCTGGAGACGAAGACTGAAGCTCGTGAACCTTAATGTACTCAGGCTCTCCTTACAGCACGCGAGACTCAGCTGCACACGTACAGTCCCCGTCTTCCGATCAGTCCCTTGTGACATACGTGTGGTGGCGGGGTTCTTGTGCCCTGTCGCTTGAGGAAGGGGAGGAAATTTGTGCCCCAAACAGTGCAAAGAGAAGGTGCGTTTTAACTGTTAAGAGCCACAGCTTTTTAGACTTTGCTGTGGTGTGGTACCTGTTCAATGGACAGAACTGGGTCTGTTTGAAATGGGTCTCAAGAGCAGAGGAATCCCTGCAGGCTGCGGACACTGAGCGGGCTTCTTCTGAAAGGGTGAGACACACTTATGGCAGCCTGCTCTGAGGATTGGCCAGAAGTGCGGGGAGACACACACGCACACGCACGCACACGCACACGACAACCTTAACCCCAACCCAGCGCACAGCTATACCATAGGTAAGCAAACAATTTTTAGTTTTTTGATTGCAGTCACAGATTTTTATAAAAATGAATGACAAAATAAAAGGTTTTCATCAGTTATAATGTGATGTATATCTGATCCACACACACACACATACGTGCACCGATCAAGGGGTACTAGGTGGTCTAGTCACAAAAAGGGGGGGGGGGTGGCTAGTGATTCCACCACACACACACACGAGAATATGTGTGTGTGTATATGCAATATGACCTCTCCAAGTGAATATTTGCCCCTTGGCAAATTCTTCATTGCTGTTAAATTCACTCTGTAAAATGACCAAAAATACCAAAACAAGTCTGAATCTCAAACTTTTGTCAAGCGGCAGGCTCAAATACAGTTGCTGTAAAAACACACACACACACACACACACCACGTGCAATTTGGTGCGGCGCTGAACAGCATGCAGTCGTCACGGTGAAATCCAGTTACCTGCAGCCATATTCTGATGAACGACCAGGCAGTGGCAGCAGGCACCAGAACACGGGCAGAGAATGCGATAAGACGACTTTCAGCGTCTAATGGAGTGAATTACTGCAGGCACACAACTCTCAGACTGCTTTGCAGCCACCGGATACCAGAGCTCAAACTAGACAAAACAAAAAAAACTAAAAACAAACAGGGAGACGCCAGCTTCAAAGACGCAACAACTGCGGGGAGGTACAAAGGTGAGCTTCCTGAAGTCAGACAAAAGCCTACGGACTCAAAATATCAGCAAAAAAACAAATTCACATGGTCATGGCTGGGAACTGAGGCGGTTGAACGGTACACAAGCCATCGCATGCAGGAAGTATCAAGCCAGTCATAACAAACAGACCACAACAATGCAAATCGGGGGTGCAAAAAGACAGGAATCTGCAAGAGAGACCTCAGTCACTCCAGGAGAAGCTGTGACTGCTGGAGGTCTGGGACAGCATGAAGATGGCAGACGTCCCAGAGGAAGGGAGGCGTCGCCTCATCTGCGGGACGGCAGGTGCAGTGGGTCACAGGGCAGGAAGGAGACAGAGAGGTACAGTGGGAAACGAGACGTCACACGCAGTGACATAGGCACTGTCCTGGGCACTGTAACATCACTGACACAACTCTCCTGGAAATTGACAGAAAGCGATATTCCAGCTTTGATGAACGGCAACTCTGGTAAACTGCAGTGAGACTGACTGACGCGGTAAAAGGGGACTGGATGTGATGTAACCACAATCAACAATCTAGGCTCGGAAGGAATTCTGGTGTTATGATATACTGCGGTATTCTGACACCATATCCTGCGGGAGAAACCCCCGCCCCGCTTGGCGAATTTCAGATTTTCAAAATACTGGAATATCATTGCTTTCGAGGAAAAACGTCAAAACATTACATACCGTGGTATAATGTCTCGACGGTATGAAAAATTAGCCTCCTCAGACTCTCCCACATGTAACAAAAGAATTGTGGCGTCCAAAAATTAGTAATCAGCATAAATTCGGCGTATCCTTATGTGTATTAATTTCGTTAGCGGACCACACCACATGCTACTGTTTTGGTAAATCATGGAAGCGATAAGCACTGAAGTGGCGGTGAAGAAATGGACAGATCAGCAGCCACAACATCTTTAAAAGAAGAGATATTGTGGATAAACAAGGTAAAAAGACATTGGTGGTATAGCGGGATTAGGATACACCAAATTTATGAAGATTATTAACCTTTGGGAGTCTCAATTCACCTCACACAAATATTATAGGTGTACTGCTAATCTGCTTATCAAATTGTGGGTGTAAATAAACATCCGTATCTCACTGAAAAGCCAGTGTAAATTTGTACATCGTTACCTAAAGCCCTGTAATCAAACCGCATATGTTGGCACTGATTCGTGTCTCGAGGCAAGACCACCAACTTATCTGGCACACTATTGGTAGGTTAGTTCTGTGTAGCTATAGTTTATTGCAGATAGATAGAGCAAATATTACTTATAATCGCAATGCGAGATCGTGCAGCCCTAGATCTGACACCTTGAAGCGCCAGTCACCGTATTGCCTAAAGAATGGGCTGAGGTAAAGAAAGCAAAAAAAAAATGATGGGAGTATGAGATGACCAGTGAAAGAGGGATTACGGGAGGGGGGACAGATATGGTCCAAAACAACTTAGGTATGAGGAATAAAGGGGAAGTGGAGGAAGCAGAGCGACTTAAAAAGAATATCAGAAAGGATTCGCAAGAAGACATTTTTGCAGTACTTCTCACTGCAAAAAATATCGAAACTGGAATGGATTTTAGACAACTGCATTGCCCTATGTTACGTTACATTACATGCATGTGGGATCCTGTTGTACTAGAGTGACAGCTTCACCTTTATGTGTTATGCGGATGAGGCTGGGGATGGGGGTGAACTTGAATTAGCAAAGGAAAAAAAAAAAGTCAAGGGAAGAAAGGAGGGGGCTGGAAGACTGGGGATAAAGGGATCTGAGTAGCGAGACACGGTCGTGGCCGGTACCTGACGCACACGAGGACCTCGTGGCCGTCTCAGCACCAGCAGCAAGACTTCGGGCAGCAGACTGAGCAGGATGAGAAGAACGATGGCCAGCCAAGCTGAGACGGAGCTCAGCATGTTGGCGAAGACGAAGTAGAGCCGCTGCTGCTCCAGGAAGGGCCTGGGGTACGAGAGAGGGAGGGCGGAGAGTCCACAGCGTGCTACACAGACACGCGCAAGAAGTGCGGCGCACAAGACCCCAGCTAGCAGGCGCTGTGCTGTGGGGATCGCATGGCACTTCTGACGAACGCGTTATAGCCTGAAGATAACGTCGATTAACCAGGTAAGAAATATTCAGAAATATGTCAGTGGTCTAGACTGGAAATTCATTCATATCTTGTGGGTTCATTTTACTGTCAGCCAGCAGAATGTGACTCACCATATGATGCCACCCCAGAAGAAACTGAAGACAATATAGAAGGACAGGGAGCCCCAGATGACAAAGTGGTTTATCCAGGTCCAGTGTCGTGTGTCCAGGGCCAGCTGTGTGGTACAGACTACAGTCAGGACAATGGCAGCCGATTTGCTAGGTCTGGTATGTGCGATGCCAAGGCGAGGCAACCCATAGATTATAAAAAAGGAAGAATTAAACATGTAAACAAAAAGCAAATTACCGATAAATTAGTATAATAAGGCACCATTAGAGGACAGCAGAGCTAACAGTGTTACGCTAAGCTAAAAGCCTGGTGAAACAGGAACGTTTTTTTTTTTTTTTTTACTTCTAGTGAGAGCTCTGGCAGCTGCATTGTGAATCAACTGAAGCTGTATGATTGTTTTTTTTTTTGAGAGACTAGTTCAGAGACAAATGCAGTAATCAATCCTGGTAGATTTAAAGGAGTGGATGAGTTTCTCCAGGTCTGGTTCAGTCAGAAATCCTCTAATCTTGTTGATGTTCTTGAGGTTATAAAATGCTGATTTAGTAACTGCTTTGACATGACTGCTGAAGCTGAGATCAGAGTCTATTAGTACACTATGGTCACTTGCTAGGTCGTTCGATTTTAGGCTCTTGAATCCAGATAAGCAGCTAATCAGAGCCTCTCATTGCGATTCCTAAATAAAATAATCAATTTTATCTTTATTCAACTGCAGAAAGTTTTGTCCCATCCAGTTAGTGATGTGCTCAAGACACTTACAAAGTGAGTCAGTGGGACCATAGTTCTTTGGAGAGAGGTTCAAGTAAATCTGAGAATAACTGTGGAAAGATATCTGATAGTCTTGCAGGATCTGGCCAATGGAAGCATGTATAAATTAGAGCAGCCCAAGAATCAAACCCTGGGGCAGACCACAGGACGCTGACGTTCTCACACAAAAAATATTTCTTCTCTGCAGGTAAGAAGTGAACCATTTTAGAACCGTTCCTAGAGTCCAACACAATTCTCAAGTCTATGAGAAGCCTTTGGTCAATGGTACCAACAGTAGCACTGAGATGGGGCAGTAACAGAACAGATGATTTTCTGGAGTCTGTATTTAAGATAATGTCATTAGTAATCTTAATTAGAGCAGTCTCAGTACTGTGATTAGACCAGAATCCTGACTGAAATCTATTTAAGGACAAAAACCCAGTAAGTTGCTTGAAGACGATTTTCTCAATATTTCCGATGAAAGATATATCTGAAGTAGGTCTACAATTAATGAAATTGCTTCTAGATTTTTCTTTGAGATGCTTCACAACTATAGTTGTTAATGTGTCAGAAAAGATGCCTGAAATGAGTAAGGTGTTTATGAACTGAAGTCCGCTGATATTCTCTTTAAAAATTTGGTTGGTAATGTGTCAAGACTAGAGAGGAGAGGTTAGCTGAGCTTAATCTGTTTAGCCTCGAGCAAAGGAGACTAAGGGGGGACATGATCCAGGTCTATAAGATTCTGACGGGTGTGGATGCTGTTCAGCCAAATGACTATTTCAATATTAGTTTAAATACTAGAACTCATGGCCATAGGTGGAAATTAGCAGGAGGGCATTTTAAACAGGATTTGAGGAAGCACTTCTTTACACAGCGTGTAGTTAGAGTATGGAATAGTCTTCCTGTTAGTACAGTGCAAGCTAAAACCCAGGGTTCCTTTAAATCAGAGCTAGATTTTAAAAACTCTGAACTAGTAGATAAGTTCTCCCCAAGCGAGCTAGATGGGCCGAATGGCCTCCTCTCGTTTGTAAATGTCTTATGTTCTTAAGGTGGACGATTTAAGATGACTAACTGTATCAATTAATATTTCAGTATTTATAGGATATTGATACTATACTGGGCCATTTTAACCATGATATCCTTACACAGTAATGGAGAGAACACAGATGCACTCGTGACTTGTGTGATATTCTGGATTTTAGTGGTATAAAAGTGTGCAAACTCATATCTCTCAGTGGATTCTAATTCAGGGGCCATGCACATATATATATGTATAAAAAAACGTACCTTTAGTGTGACAGTGAAGACAAGGACCGTAAACACAACGGTGCCAAAGGCCCAGTTTCCGAAGACCTGGCCAGTGGAAAGCAGGGCAGGGTTGCTGAACAGAAAGAAGGCCCCGAAGAAGAAGAGCAGGCCGTGGAAGATCCCCAGCAGGGTCCAGTAGGAGAAGGGGCCCCAGCGCAGCAGCGCGTTCTTGGCCATCTGCCTATAAAGTGTGGGGCTATCGAGCAGGATCTCAATGCAGATATGCTGCTCAAAGAGGCTGTAGGCCAGGATGGGCATAGAGGTGAAGTTGATGTTGTACATCGTCAAATAGGCTGCGTCGTAGAGGGGCTGGTCAAGGGTTAGGCTTAGGGTTAAACACGGAGAGGAACACACGCATACACGCAAGCTCAAAATGTTTATGCAGATGCTGTGTAATCTAAGGGGGGGGGGGGGTACATTCAGTCACAGTCTGCATAGTCATTGGAGATATAGGGACACATTTTGTGCTTTATGAGACTTCTACAGGCAGAGTGTAATCTGCACAGGTCAGCCTGGCTGGAGTACTGCGTATATATGCATATACACCCGTGTACTGCGTATATATGCATATACACCCGTGTACTGCGTATATATGCATATACACCCGTGTACTGTGTATATATGCATATATACCCGTGTTTCTGAAACCGGTCCTCGGAGACCCCCAGACAGTCTACATCTCTGTGGTAGCTGGGAGGGACCAAAAACATGGAGCATCGGGGGTTCTCAAGGGCCGGGTCGAGGAACACTGTTATACAGACACATTTCTAGAGGGGTTTAACATGACGAACATTGTCATTCCTTCTCAAAGGAAGCCGGAGAGGGTCAGCCAGAGAGGAAGGACCACAGGGCTAAGTTTGGAGCCCCCCCCCCAGCGATTCCCACCTCCTGAAGGGGGTGGTCTCCAACGTGGAAAATGCCAAACAACATAAAGGCCCTCTATGCCCTTCTCACCTGTTGGGAATATCCACAGTAGAACTGGTACAAAAACTGAGGTAAAATGAAGCAAAGATTCTGGGGGGGGGGGGGGGGGGGGGGGGAGGGGGGGGAGAGAGGGAAAAACACAAATGAATTTTGTTGGCATAAGGTGACAATAATCACACTAAAATTTCAGTAGAGGATACTCTCTTATTTAATGCAAAGACATGCATGGTACTCTGAAATCTAATTCTTTAGGCTAATTATTACAGATCTGCCAAGTGTGGTACAGCAGTCTGTAACACACCTGGGATTAAGAAACAACAGGCCATCGCACAGTATGAATGACCCCAACACTATACATCGCACAGTATGAATGACCCCAACACTGTACATCGCACAGTATGAATGACCCCAACACTGTACATCGCACAGTATGAATGACCCCAACACTATACATCGCACAGTATGAATGACCCCAACACTGTACATTTACCGTCACACCACAACATGCACAAATGGGCCACTCAGGCTAAAGTCAGGAACGTGGTCAAAGCCATGGTGGATTCTGAAGGACACTGTGATCAAAATGAAATGTTTACCTCTGACATGGTATTCAGACACAGAACCTACACGGTTCATTACCATGGACACGGACGAGCCTTGCCAAGGACACCTTGTTCCATATATGGACAGTTTGATGACCCCGGTCAGAAACACCTGCCTAACCATCTCCAAGGTGGCTCTGCTGAATGCGTGCAAAGCTCGATAGAAGATGCAAAGGCGTGGACCTACCTTGTAGAAGAAGTATTGTACCAGATGGGCGATGCGGACATAGTACAGGTGTCCGTGGGCCAGCAGCAGTTTCTTGAGGTGCTTAAGCTTATGAATGGCGTAGTCACTGTTCCGGACAGCCTGTCGCCCCTCTTTTCCCTTAATTCCTAGGTACCGGACACCAAGATCACAAACTGAGACCTTCAACAGCTGACAAATACTAATATTCGCTATAATATTCGTATTAGCTAACTATTAACCATTAGATTTAAAAGGGTGTAAGGGTCCTGGCTAATTTTCTTGCCAAGATTTCAAAATACTGCGGTTTACTCATTTCACTCTACTGCCTATATGTGTGTTAGCTGCATTAAATTGGCCCTCTGCTAGTCTGGGGGACTATCTGCTGTATGCAAGCGCCAACCTCAACCACCAGCATCCGTAACGGCGCGCGGAAAAGTGAAATACGAAAACAGGCTCATCGCGCCAATGATAACATTTGTAGGTGGTGAAAATGATATGGATGCCCTTTATAGAGCAACTCACAAAAATACAACCATATCGACGACAAAATTCATCGTCAGCTATTTTTCTTGCCGATTACTATTGACCTTATTGATAAACTGCTGCGGCCCTAAAAGAAACCAGGAACTGCTAGAAGAAAACCAGATGAGCATAAGGAGGCGAGTTTAATATCTCACCAATGCCCACGTGGGCCTCCAGAATCATACTGACATCGTTGGCCCCGTCGCCCACTGACAGTGTGATGGGATTTCCCTTGGAATTTTTCACCATCCTCACAATCTATGAAAACGTGACAGGAAAAAGATTATTGGCTGCTTCAGTTAAGTACGAAGAAACATATAAATATCAATGCAATGTATGAGAACTGGACACCCTTTGAACCATAAGATCATGAGAATTGAGGTTGGCCAGGTGAACCAGCACGGGTTAGGGTTAGGGTTAGGGTTAGGCTGGTTTATACTTCTCCGCACGCGTGGTAGCGGACGTGTCCGCTTGAACGTCTATGCCGTGTTTGACGTCATTGTGCCCCTCAGTGCACGAATACCTGCTGCACTCCACATTTCTGTCTGCAGAAAGCGTTGAGGTAGTTTGCGGACCCTACAGACTACTTACAAGGTAATAGAACTGCTAGATACAGGTAAATTCGTGGGTGTGTGAGTGCAGACTCGTCTCGAATTGAAAATCTCACGCCAGCCAGCTGACCAAAGTTGGCAGCCCCGTGAGCTGGCTCTCTGAATTTGTAAAACATACAGAAACGGACACAAACCTCACTGCTGTGGTATGTGTGCAGGTAATATCAGAATAATGATTTATATTATTATTATTATTCAACAATATAAATAAAACATGTTGTGCGCATGTGCAAAGTACAGTACGCGGCTTGACTGGAGAACTACGAACATTTCCGTGTACGCAGAGTGGATACGCGAATGCTGCGCTCGTGCGGCGCTCGTGCGGAGAGGTATGAAGCAGCCTTTGGGGTTAGTCGGCTGCAGCTACCTGAGCCTTCTGCAGGGGGGCCATGCGGCAGCAGAGAACAGAGGTGCAGCTCTGGCAGATAGTCAGGAAGAGGCTCTTATAGCGACTGCTGTCAGTCTCGGGAGAGGCGTTGAGCACCAGGGAGAGCGTGGCGCCATCCACGATGAGGCCATAGTCCTGCCCTGCCGAGGACCAGCTTCTGTAAACGACGCAGGGCAGCAAGAGGTATAGCTACAGATCAGCACATTTAGCCTGGAATTACATATGGAAATAGAGCCTTAAGCATCAAAGAAACATATAGTGTACATAAACATACTGCTAACCAACCTGTGGTTCACTCCCTTGCCGACGGGATGGCACTGGGTCTTCGCCCGGTATTCCTGCAAAAGCTGCAGCAAACGTTCCTCGCGCGGTCGCCCACCTTCCTCGAGGGTGCGCACTGTCAGCTCCAGCAGCTCGGTGCCCTGCTGGAAGAGGCGGCTGGCGTAGCAGGTGGACTTGGCGGTCTCCATCTTGTCCCCTGTGAGCACCCACACCTTCATGCCTGCGCTCTGCAGAGCTTCCATAGTCTCAGCAGCTTGTTCCTGCAGCCTACAGAAATAGGCCGAGGGACACCACACACTGAGTACTGCCACCTGGAGAGGAGGCCATCTTGTGATGACACACTGGTAAGGGCACGAGGGCCAGCTAACTGCACTAACACGAGCTTCGCACCTGTCCTCCACTGCCGTGGCTCCGATGAGGGTCATTCCAGTCTCCACCCGGTTGTACGCCGCGGCCAGCTTCTCCTCTCGGTCCTCGAGGGCCAGACGAGCTTCTCTGAGGCTGGCGTCGACCTGCACATACACCTCAGTGCTCAGCTGCTTGTAGGCCACACACAGGGTCCGGTAACCCTCCTGTGTTTATTCAACAAATAGACATAAACACGCCTCAGCAGACATGCAAACAAACAAACTACTCAGCTGCTGCGTACAACATTAACGGACCAGAAAAGGGATCCTAAAATGTTGTCTGTACGGCAGCTGCGAATGATAACTCGGTGTGTTAGAAGTGATTCCGACGAGTTAGCTCACGGCTAAAATTCTGTGCACGCCTGTCTAAACCATGACACACACCTGGGGCTTAATGCAGGATTGAGTTAAACACCAAGCCAGGGCTTTAAACATCTTGATCTCCAGTTGTTGGGTTGGCTGATTAACACCGAACAGCTAACAGAACAAGCTTATTCTGGCAACCATCTACTGAACTAGAGGCTATAGGAACAACAACAGTGTATTCCCCGGACAGCTGTCACCCCCTCCCTCCATGTAATCCCGACGCCTCCCACACCCCCCAACCTCCATCTCTAGCGCCCCTACACTGGCCTTAGACAGAATCTAACTTTTCACACAATCATACAGTCCATAGATTATACCAATGTTTCCCAGCCCAGTCCACGTTTTTGCTCCCTCCCAGCTCCCAGCCAATCAGGAACACCGAATACCTGGTACAGGTGCACTGGGAGCAGAGAGGAAGCAAAAATGTGGACTATCCGGGGTTCCCCGAGGACTGAGTTGGGAAACACTGGAGTATACTACTGTATACGGCAGGTGTCAGGCCCATGGCATATTTTGCCACAGACAAGTCTTTCCATGGACACATTAGTCCGTGTATGAACAGGTTGATGATCCCTGCTACAGGGTATTTTGATGGTATTTACAAAAGCCACACTATTCCATCCACTGTCCACCGCTTCTTTTGAGCAGAGATGCCCAGACCTCCCTCTCCCCAGCTACCTCCTCCAGCTCCACTAGGAGGATACCAAGGGAAGCATATAAAAAATATACTGTAATATCTCCTAAGCCCCCCCCCACCCCACCCCCACCACATAGTGTCCCCATCTCTCAAAATAAAAAATCTTCCCCTTTGATAACATCTACCAGGCAGGGGGGGTGGGGGGTGGCATGATAAGCTTCACCAAGCTGCTCACCATAAATTTTGCCAACCAGCTAAAATGCTGCTACCAATAAAATTTGCTAGGCTGCGATGAAAAAAGAATAGTAACCTTTTATTTCTATATTCAGAGAATCATCTCATTACCCTTCCCAAGGCACCCCACAGTTTGAGAACAAATGACCTGTACAATAGTCCTGGGAAATTTGAAAAAGATCCATGTAATACTTTTAGATTTACTATGTTCACAATTTCAAGTGTCTTCTACAGTCACCCATTTAGTCCTTTGCTGCCACACAGCACTGCTGCTTCAATTTAGAAGGATTTATCGCAAAATGAAATCAGGTGAAGATCTCATCCAATTTGTGAAGTGGTAATAAGATGAAATTCAAGACCCTAAGACCATGAAATACTTTTGAGTTATCATATTCACAGGGTTAAATACTTCTGGGGTTACCCTAATTGCTTCAGTTTTCATGCCATGTTTCAATCCAATGTACCAGCTAAGTTTGAAAATGATCTATCAAACACTGTGAGCACTTTTAGATCTTCACTCATTCAAGGCATCTGCAAAGTTTTAAATGATCCGCCAAATACTTTCTGAGTTATCATACCAACAAGAGACTGCTTGCAGAGGTGGACCGGTCTTAAAGCCATATTTAACCCACATCCAGGAAATACAGTAACACCAATAAAAAGAGTATTGAGAACAAACAGACCTTTGCATTTCTCTGAACGTGAACCTGTATCCTGTCCACTTCTTCCCTCCTCAAACGAGGGAACATTGAGGAGTCAGCCCCCTTGCAAAAGAGGAGGGTCTCCCCAGTTTTGGATTTTACGATCACACTCATGCGACGGCGCACAGGATCGAAGTTCAACATGTGCAAAAGCTCGTACACTTCGACATCATTGTCCCTGTTCAAGATTTTCATGTTTTTGCATTCCAAACCCAAGAAGGTGAAGCCATACTTCATCGCTCCTTTCACCAGGGCCACCTCATCCGGCGAGGAGGCAATGAAGCCACACTGAGCCCCTGAGATGGAGTCGATCTGGTCTCCGTCCACCTCGGCCAGCTGGCTTTCCTTTACCTGCACGGTGTGGCAGAGGCACAGCGCTCGCAGAAATAGATCCTCCATCTCCTGCAAGGAGCCAAGATGGGATATATATAATCCCAGTAAATAAGAACCTTTAGCTGAGACAATCTCATGAGGGACCCCTGGTTCTTGTATTTTCATTTTAGTCCCTCGCGCTTTCATCTACAGCAGGAGTGGCCGGTGTGTATGCAGGCTTTTGGGACGTGCTTTAGGTCAGCTGTTCAAACCCAGGTGTGAGGACTCTTCAGCCAATCAGTCCTCTAATTAGTAATCTAATTAGGGAGTTGCGGAGAAAACCTGCAGACCCAATGTCCCTCTCTGGATAAGACTGCTTGATCTAAAGCAGGAATGCCCAACCCTGGCCCTTCTGAAGCATCCTAGTATTAGAGTCAGCTATGTTGAAGCTAAATTGGCCATAATACTAAGATGCTACTGAAGGGCCTGATTATCTAATATCAAGTGTGTAGAATTAGGGCTGCACCTAAGCTCTGTTCGTAGATCTCTACGAGCAGCAAAGAGCAGCTCTGTTGTAAAGCAACATGCATCTTCACCCAGTTATCCAGGGGTACGTTTCCCAAAGTCTCCTGAGGGCAACTTGCATAGATGGAACCGTTGAGTTGAATGTCAGCTCCTAATGTTATTTGCAGTTATGCTTTTGGGAAACGTGCCCCAGATGGATATTTCACTATATATTACTGGTACTTGGCTAAAATGCAGGGACCATATTTGAACTTGTACCAGCATCCCTTACGACCACCTACTCCCCACGTTGTTGTCGTATTTGCAGTTACTCACCCGGCCTGCTTTTTCCTGGACCTTGTAGATGGGCCCATCGGTTACAGAGAACCCATCCAGCTCAGCCTGTGACTCGCGGTACTTGTACTGAAAGCCATCGATGCAGCACTCGATGAACTCCATGTTGTTCTGAGTCAACGTGCCAGTTTTATCCGTGAAAACATACTCCACCTAAACGTGAAGATGAGGAGAGGGAAGTGGAGACAGGCATGGTATATTTCTGCTTTGCATTGATTAATTGGATGATATCTTCTTAGAGAGGTGTCTCTGTGGGTAGCATGGATTCTGCACGCCTTTGAATAATGCCCCCTTCTGTGTGTTCCCCCATGTTGTGTTGCCTTTCTCTTGGTTCTCCACATTCCTTCTAGGGTGTAAAGACACACAGTTCATCTAAGTGGTATCTCTGCATCTTGCACAGTGCGTGACAGTGTGCCCCATCAACTGGCATCTCTGCATCGTGCACAGTGCGTGACAGTGTGCCCCATCAACTGGCATCTCTGCATCGTGC